CCTCAGCCTCCCAAGTAGCTGGGACTACAGGCGCCCGCCACAACGCCTGGCCATTTTTTTGGTTGCAGCCATCATTGTTGTTTGGCAGGCCCGGGCTGGGGATTCGAACCCGCCACCTTAGGTGTATGTGGCTGGCACCTTAGCTGCTTGAGCCACAGGAGCTGAGCCTAAATTTACCTTTTTAAATTTAAACTTACAAGCAGTTTTTACTTACAAGCAGTTTTTATACCTGTATGCCAAGCTCTGTTTTAAGCAATGAGGATATTGGATGGCAGGGAGGGGACATTAGGATCTCTGCTCCATTCTAGTGCAGATTCTGTTTAAAAATCCACCGCCTTCTAAAAGTAAAGGTTCCTCTGTTTTTTGACTTCTTTTGTAGGATATCCTTCAAAATCCCCTCATGGCTTCCCCAAATACAGGTTTTGAGCTGAGAATGGTTTTAGGTAATTATAGCTTATTTAAAGTAAAAGGTGGTCTTAGTGATTTCTATAAGCTCATCCCTTATATGTAAAAAGAAGAAATAAGAGAAGAAATAGTACACACTCCTTTTTACATATAAGGTATGAATTTTACAAAAGTAAGTTGTAAGGAGTAGGATCGTTCACTCAGTTCAGACCTTAATGTTAATTAAAAATACGTGACATTGACTCAGCACCTATAGCTCAGGGAATAGGGCACCAGCCACACACACCAAGGCGGGTGAGATCAAGCCTGGCCTGGGCCTGCTAAACACCAATGACAGCTGCAACCCAAAAATAACTGGTTGTTGTGGTGGGCGCCTATAGTCCCAGCTACTTGGGAGGTTGAGGCAAGAGAATCGCTTGAGGCCAAGTGTTTGAGGTTGCTGTGAGCTATGACACCATGGCCCTCTACTGAGGTCGACTTAGTAAGAATCTGTCCATGCCACAAACAAGTGACTTTGGAGGAAAACCTTCTGGTCTTAATAACTAATAGAATATTCGTATATAGGTATGTAAATCCTATAGAATATGTAACTATAAAATCAGCCTACTGGTCATTGACACTATAATCCCATGTTTTAATAAGTATCAAAATAAAGACTTCTCAAAGTTATTTTTATAATATTCATTTTGGCCACAGAGTCTCTTGTGAAATTTCTGAGCACCTAAATTTTACATAGGTAATAGTTAACCAATACGGTTTAATCAATTCCTTTCCAGTTGGAAGCTTATCCTAGCACATAAAAGTTAGACATGTAAAATATGCTTGGTAATAAAATCAGTCCTCTCTCCTAGCGCCTGAGAAGGAGTTTGCCTCCTGGTTTGCTGAGACGAGTTTCTTCCACCTGGACGACCACCACCTCAGCTACAGGTCTGCCCACCTTAGAGCCCGCGCCCGTTCGGAGGGACCGCAGTGCCAGCATCAAACCGCACGACGCCCCATCATCCAGGTTTGACAATGCACCTGCTGGTTTTCTGTCTCTTGGAGAAGTTACTTACCAAAATGGAAGTACAGATGACAAGGAAGGCCTGATCAATTACTGTTGGCCGGCATCTAGCTTTGGAAATGGAAAAGATGTATGGTTTCAATGCAGAACACGATAGAGATTAATATCAGATAATTAGGCTTAAAGGCTTTGTGGGTGCTTAAATATAAAGTGGGAAGTGTGACCCGAGGTGATCTTTGCCACTGGGACCTTTTCTGGGAAGGATTAAGCCCAGGATAAAGGTAGGCAGAAAAATCATACTGAGACCCATAAGTCAAAAGTATTTAACATGACACCTGCAGCTGGTGTTAGATCATCCCAGCCCACCGGGCCAGCTGCTTTAGCCTTACAGGAAAGGGCAGAAGAGCAAATCAACAGTAGATCATCATCCTAAGATTGCCTAGATTTGTTCAAACACTTGGGAATTTCAACTTTATTTAGTGTATTAGTTCCAATTTTACAAAGTGACATAAAAGCCAGAATTACCAAAGCTAAAGAAAAGACCCTATATTATATTAAAACCTAAGAAAAACAATTTTTCAGAAAATAGCTAAAGAAAGATATGATTTTAGAGGAGATATTGTGTTTATTCTTTTCTATTTAGACTTAAAATAGCTACTTTATGTGAAATTAATAATGATGGGAATATTCACCATACGATTTCAGGTTTTGACATAGATATATCAGTTTAATTAATGGCTTAAAGAATGAAATAAATTCGTATCTTTTTTGAATTGCCTTACAGCAATATGAGAAGTCATTGTCTCCTGATCTTAGCCTCAGATGTAAACAAAGCCCCATTCTGAGTTTGGCAGGAAAATGGAAACCTTTCAAATTAGAAGAATTAAATGACTGCTGACTTGTTTTTCTTGATTGAAAATACAGGTGCTGGTAAACCTATAGAATTATAAGCAAACTCAAATGCTTTTTTCACATATCAGTATTTCTCCTCTCTATTACTGGGAATAGAGTAAAACTATAGTGTAAAACTTTGAAATCTTATCAAAATAAGGAGGTTATTTATATATATACTGTTTCAAGAACATTGTCTAAACTTTGAAATAAGACATTGTTTGTAATATGTTTGTCTTAAAATATTGATAATTGTCAATGTACCCAGCAGTGAGTGCTGATAAATGGTGACTAGTCGCATTATTGTTCAATGTGGCTTAGTAAGCCAAATGAGGTTCTCATTGAATAAGGTTAGAGAGAGTGCCCATTTTACCAGCACACCCTGCCAGGTTTCCTATCATACTGTAATTAGTGCTTCTTGCTTTTTATTCCTCTACCAAAACCCCGCTCCTTCCTTCTCAAATGTCTTTCTGTCATTCTTCGTTACTTCTAATTCACTCTCATTTTCCCTTCTGGTCTCATCTCTTAATCAATTAAATGAAACTGGAGGCTGAAATTGAAATGCTGACAAGAAAGAAAGTTCCAAGAACTTTTATGAGTTTAACTCCCAAGAATCTCATCATTCTGCTTTATACAACAGATATTTAGACTCGTGTTTTCAAGAGATAAGGAATCACATGTGGTCCCCGTCATTCTCATTCTCCCAATTCTAAACATACTCACAGATGTCTTATGTGGCCGGCTATGCATTTTCCCACTATTTAACTTACTCCCTCTTCATTTCACTGTCCTGTCAAAAGTCCGGATATAAAATCTGAATGTGGTGTAAATTCTCACCATTGTGGAGAAATGAAATTCAATTGAAAGAGAATGTGAGCCCCATAAGGGAAAAACCGTATATAAGTAAGTAGCAACAGCGCCAATATTAAATACTAGTTCAGGCCTTGATTAGAAACCAAAGCCCGCCTTCCTGAGAAATCTTGCAAAAAAACTGGTGATTAGTTCTGAAACTCACTTGCATTTTAGCCCTGAAGTTTCTTCCCTTGAGCTCTTTTATTTCTTCCTTTTTGTGTCTGTCCTTTTAATGGGGGCTTGTTGAGAATTATGGTGATCAAAAGAAGAACAGGAGAAGTAAACGTTCAAAACAGTTCACTTATGTACATCCCTTGAGGTATACCCTTGGAAAATTTACTCCTGGGTAACTGTAAATAGAATCTGGGAGAGTGTGGGCTGAGAATCAGAGGGGCTTGGCTTCAGAAAGGATGTCCTGTGGAGCCTCCGTACCCTCTACAAGAGATCATTAAGAAAAAGAGAAACTATGGCACAAGTGGAGGGGTAAATTAGATGGGAGAATACAAGTAGGTGCTTTAAAAAATAGGTGTTAGCTAGCAACAGCTAAAATACATCATGCCGCATGTCATTCCAAGTTGACCTTGGAATTGAGCTCTGAGCTCTGTACATTAGGTGAAAAGAAAGCTATAAACTTGGTAAAAGAAACTATCATGTGGTGAAACTTTTCCGACTTGTTATGGGGAAAAGAAGGGTATGGAACCACCTTTGTGAAGGGGATTAAGATCTTTTATCACAGGCACATACATAATTTTTCTCTGCTGTGCCAACATGAGGAAACCAAGTAATTATTTCCTTAATCTGTTTTCCTCTCCAGAATCCAAATTATTACATATTCCTGAGATCTAAACAGGAGCCAGGAAAATAAGGAGAAATGAAAAGCTGGAAGTTCTCAGCTGAAAAGCTGAAAGTCACTCTACTATTGCCCTTTATATATAAACTTTTCAAAATGAGCACATTTTAAATGTTTTTATTAAAAATGCATATAATTATTGTACTGGCCTTCATAAGTATGTATTTCTGATATATTCAAATGTTCAACTAATGTTACGGTCTTAAAAAAAAGTCTATGTAGAAAAGTAACCTCTCTTAATGGTATAATGAACTCAGAAACAAGAACATTTAGGCTGCACATACATTATATAAAATTTCTTCATGGTAAATGTTACCAAGTTAATCTAGCAAAATGAGTTACAAAGGACCAGAATTACCAGGAAATAGCCAGTTCTCTGTCTCAGATTCAAAGTTTTCTTTGATCTGATTATTTCCAAAATTCCAAGCATTTGTAAAATATCTAGGATGAAATTTCTAAGAAGGACATGAAACAAATATTTTCTATGCTTTCCTTAATTATATTTGATAATGGAAATTCATTCCACATCTCAAATATCTCTTTTATGATATAGTTGAAGACTGCTATTGGAAGTAGGGAGAAACTGTGAAGTTTTTGTATACCTGGGCCAATAGTGGATGAAACATCTCTCTGAAAATGGAGAAAAGAGAAATGAGATGGCACAAGTGTCATGCAAATTACAGATCTTACCCACTGCCTGACTTACTAACCATCAAAGAGTATAGGCAAGAGCAAAGCATCTGCTGGGCATTCCCCCCTTTGAGAGGTCTGAGACTTGGTGTGGTTCTCTGAATAGCCTTTTATTCCACATTAGCACGTGTTCGGTTTGGATTTAGCATACAGGTTCTAAGCAAAGCATGCATAATGTTGCTTGCGCAGAGGGAACCATTCCAGTTATGGAACCTCTCTAAATTATACCTCATTAATTATATAGCTTATATGGCAATCTTCATAGATCCATGACCCAGTAATTCCATTAGTTTCAGGTTTATTTATAATAGGCCACTCAGACAGACCAGGAGCATCCTGCTTACAGTGCCAGCTTGAGATTGGCAAAGCATCAAATTGTCAAATTCTGTCCATGCAAATTGTAGACTTTGCCCTGTACCAAATTTACTAGTGTTTGAAAGGACACAGGTGGTGTTAGCAAAACGCAGACAAGCACTTTTCCTTTGCAGCAGTCCAAGATTGTCAACATAGCTTCCGAAATTCTTCCCAAATTAGGATGGATTCTTGTTCAGATTCAACATGTAAGTAAGGTTCTGAGCAATCCAGGCAGGGAAATTTTGCCTTGGAATACCTTCAAAATTTATTTCCCATTAATTACATGGCTTCTATAACATCCTCTACTCTAACCCTCCCTATATCTATTAATTCCAGATTAATTTGCAAAGAGCAACCGAGACAGATCAAGTCCATCCTGGTAAAAGCGTCCCCCAGACTCTTCATTACCTTACATTTCTCGCAGTAAATATCATCAGGTCCACTGTTGTCATGTTCACAAAGAGATTTGACTGAGTCATCTTCTTTTTAAGGTATCATCAGGAAAGAGAAATTGTAGACTAATGACCTGCTGCTAATCTTTTCCTCCACCAAGGAAATACTGGAAGAAGACATTACCTTTGAATGATTTTATAAGCATTCCATTTTTCAATACAGTTGGACCAAAAATAAAGAATACTGAAGTATGCTTCATGCTCTTTATAACTAATCTGAGATCTCCTGCACCTCCACCAGTTAATCAGCAAGGCTGTTATAGAAAATTTGGGGGATATGATTATAGAAATAGAAAAAGAATGTGGGTGATTCTTATTAATTGGAAAAATAGGCAACTTATCTTTTCTCTTTTGTTAACCCAGTATGCATGATGAGTGACTACTGTGGCCCTGCCACAGTGTTCGAGCTGACACAATCTCTATGTTGTCATTGAGAAATCAAGTGGTTCTGTCACTGAACTTGAACCCAGTGCTCAGACTGGCAAGTCTGTTATGGAAATGAGGCTGGGTTCTGGCAAAGTTTGTCCCAGTAGGTGATGAATAGTTTTTTTTTCATTTTTCCCTTACTGTCCTGTCTTTCCAGTGTGGCTAGTCCTGATTCTTGGAATAACCCAGGAATGACGACCCTCACCAAAAGCAGATCCTTCACTTCGTCCTATGCTGTTTCTGCAGCGAACCACGTAAAGGCTAAAAAGCAAAATCGACCAAGTAAGTAACTTGTTGGCAGCAGAGGTCAGACTCTGTGGAGTGTGCAGTCCCACAGTAAACCAAAACGTGAGTGCTGAAATACTCTGCGGCTGCTCTACATTCTGATGGCTTCGGTTTGGCTGTTCTAATAACCAATTAGTTACTAACACCTTTTTCAAAAAAAAAAAAGGCTCCATAACCAGTTAGTTGTGTGTGTGAATTTCCACTTTATATGATGATACAGACTCCCCCAGTGTTATTGAACCAGATTTCCTATATTGAACTTACTGGATAAGTAGAAAATCACTGTTGCCATGAGTCATACTCTCTGGAAGAATAATCTTAGAAGAGAAATCTTGGTTTTACTTTTACTAGTAAATACAAATTATATTTCTGGAGTATAGTATTTATATGAGTTCAAAGGAATGCAGCATTTACTATACATGAGCTATGATAAAGAATTTGGATATTAAAATTAACAATAATAAAGTTTTAGGTTTGGACAGGGAAATGATTTGTGGGAAGATTACCTCATTTGATTAGAGTCTGTGCTGACTCAGAATTGTGATACGGGCTTTATTTTTTTCCAGTTTCTGTCTCCTAATTACCCTTCTCCTAAAAGCTCCATTGAAAACCTGAGGTGTTTTCTTTGACCCTTTCTCCATGGAACTTTCTAACTCTCAGTTTTCACTTCTCAGTAGCATAGAAAACTTTGATGAGCTTTTTAGTAACTTATTGCTTAGTTTCTTAATCTTCTGTCTTTAGCAGCCTAAGAATTCACCAGTGGCTCAAGGGAAAAACTGCCCATTTCTCCCTGAGATCTTAGACATTCAAGTACTGGCCACCTTGGCAGCCCCTAACTCCAATTTCTGTGTCATCAGCCTCATGATGTTGCTAAAAGCTCTGCTGGCTCTGTCTCTCCAGTGTCCCACCGGCTGTCTGGATGGCTGCCTCTTGCTCTATGCCAACAGTCCATCAATAATGCTAAAGGGAAGAACCAGCTTCAGGACTTGACTCACCCTTCTGAGGTCCTCTTCCCTTGGGGAACCTAGTCCCTCAGAATTAGGCACTTTTCCTTGATAGCTTTTTATGTCTGATTTCATGGGAATTACATCACTGAAAGAAACCCTTAAAGGTAGTCTGATTTTCCAACAATGATCTAGTCCTGTCTGCTCTTTAGAAATGTTCTTTAAATTTTACAACGTAGAAGTCATTAATGACCTAAGAAACAAAACCAAGCTTTCTCCGGGGTCAGCAATACTAACCTACAGCTAATCTCGCAAAGGCTAAAAAGCAAACTCGACCAGGTAAATAACTTGCTGGGAACAGAATTCCTACTCTGAGCATGTAGTCACAGAGTAAACCAAACCTTACGTGCAATATTCTGAGGGTGTACTACACATGCACTGGTGGGTTTTGGTGACAATTCTAATAACCAATTAGTTATAATAATAAAAATAGCCTTCTAAGTTTATAACTTAGAAGTCATTAATGTGGCCCGAGAAATAAAACTGAGTTTTCGCCAGGGCCAGGCATTATAGAAAAGTGTAGGCAGATACACCTGCAGAGAATCACGTAAAGGGTAAAAAGCAAATTCTACCAGGTAAGTGACTCACTGGGAGCAGAGATCACCCCGAGGGCAAATACAGATTAACTCAATAATAAGGAGAATCATTTGGAATTCTGCAAGATGGAAGATCTGCGTTGGGGACTTCCACGTGGAACTTGAGACTCTTAAAGGAGTACTAAAGTAGGCCTAAACTTGTAGGACATCCTGGCTCTCTACAAAAATATGTGCTGATAATTGTTGAATAAAAGTATCACCAGTTAAGGGCTCTGGGATTTTAAAGACCAAATTCAAACACAGAGCTTACCACTAGGATCACTAAACACACAAGAAAACACAATGAGTTTGAATTAACAGTAACAATACAAAAATTCTCAGATCTCTAAAAGGGTTGAGATATTCAAATACTAAAATACTTAAATACTTAAAAAATATGCATTTTTTTTTTTTTTTTGAGACAGAGTCTCAAGCTGTTGCCCTGGGTAGAGTGCTATGGCGTCACAGCTCACAGCAACCTCAAACTCTTGGGCTTAAGCAATTCTCTTGCCTCAGCCTCCCAAGTAGCTGGGATTACAGGCACCCACCACAATGTCAGGCTATTTTTTATTTTTTTTGGTTGTAGTTGTCATTGTTGTTTGGCAGGCCCAGGCTGGATGCGAACCAAAAATAATTACAATGTGAAAAGATTAAGTGCAGAGCAATTAAGTAAAGAAAATATAATCAAGGAAACAGGTTAAATAGTGCAATAGACAAGTGAAGGGAGAATTCATATCCTGGATGGAGGAAAATCAGAAGAAGTCATCCAGAGTGCAGCACAGATGAGATATTGGAAAATATAAAAGATTTTAAGAGATATCGAAGAAGGAACTAGAAAGTCTAACATACATAATCATGGTTTTAGTAGTAGATGAAGGACACAAAACATTCGAAGAAAAGCAGAAAAAAAAAGATAAAGTCACACATAGACACAAATTAATAAAACTACCCAATACTAATGCTAAAAGAATAATAATCCTGATTTCTACCAGAGAAAAGACAAATTGCCTTTTCAGGAAGGGTAGTCAGGGTGAGAGCAGAATTGTCAGAAATACAGAGTCAGAACACAGAAAACTTTCTGCAAGTTTCTGAGAGACTATTATAATCGATCTAAAATTATGTGCCTGACAAATCTACCTGATAAGAATTTTTGAGAGAAGTCAAAACTTTACCACTTCCCAGATCGTCACTAAAGGACTTTGTGGTGAATGTATTCTAGAAGAAAAATAATATCAGAGAAGAGTCTAAAATCTAAATAAAAAGTTAAATACATTTGAAAACTCTCTGTCAGTCCAAACACTATGTATTATACACATAAATGGTAGTATTTCCAGATTCAGATTCATGGGTAGTTTTTAAAAGATTTTTTTTAACAACAGAATTAAAATACTGAATGACAATACGTAACTCAAGGGCTAAAAGACAAGTTGAAGTGTTCTGTGTCCTTGTGTAGCTCAGAAAGGGGGTTCAGATGTGGAAACTGAGGCATGGAAATGTTAAGCCCTCGCCTAAGGCCACACAATTTGTCTTGAGTTCTTACTTTTGTCCTAATGACTTTGTAGTAGAAAAAAATGAAAAACAACAAATAGAATTTAAAATTAGGATGTCTTTGGTTTGTCCCTGCCTGAGTACGGGATCATGAAAAGGTTTGGTTTTCTCTTTCTCTGTTTCTTCAGTGGAAATAAAATAAAAATTGTTTAATAACCAGCACGGTAAATTCAAGAAGATGAAAATTATAGGTAGGGCAGACAGTGGCAATAACAGGGCGAGTGATAACATGGGCTTCTATTCCTGTGTCCTATTGCCTTTTTTATCTGACTGTGCTCAAGAAGAAAAGGCAAAATGTCAAAGGAAAGTAATGCCTACCTAAGATACCCTGAGGGCAGGGAGTAGACAGGTAGAGCCCTGGGAATAGCCAGGCCCATCTGCCATTCTTCCGTCAGGTGCCTAAGGGACTTGATCTGTGGTTGCATTGGAGGAGATTTTACACTGTGGCATCTTTAGACGATTGTCACAGTAAAATTATATTATTTATACAAATAACCTCCATCCTATGCCTCCTGAACCCAACTGAGCAAATCCCGTTAAGTCTGCCAACAGAAAAACATCCGTCAAGAATCAGAGCGCTGACACGCAATTCCAACTCGGATCAAACAGGCCCTACTGCTGGAAGCCCTTGCTCCCCTGGGCTGATGGCCTCCTTGGGGGTATGGAGCTAAGGGGGTGTTCCCGGTTTGAGGTAACTGACTAGGAAGCTGCCTGGATTTCAAGCTCTATGAAAAGAGGCTGGGAAAAACGAACTCCTTTAGGTGGTAAAGAGTATAAGCGAATGTTCCCAAATGAAGTGTGAGCAGAGTCAGAGGAAGAATCTAAGAACAACAGGGAATTGGGGGCGGGGGACGATATCGAGGGAAAGACAGACAAACTGAAAGATAAATCACCTGTTTCCAGAAGGGTCTAATAAAATCTGATCTCTGCAGGAGTCAAGTAAACACTGTGTCCTCTAGCTCAATCGGCGTTAATTTTCAATAGCCAAAGCACAACCAATTAGTATGCAGTTACTAATATAAAATAAATGAATGAAATCACAGAGGCGTCTTTTGATGAAAGCATGAAAACAAGAGATTTAAATATAATCTGCCTTTGCAATCTTGCTCTTCTTCTGTGAGTCATTCACCATGGGGAGCTACCAGGACATCATCCTTCTTTAAAAATTCCTCCAATTCAGGGCGGTGCCAGTGGCTCAAAGGAGTAGGGTGCCAGCCCCATATGCCATAGGTGGCGGGTTCAAACCCAGCCCTGGCAAAAAACTGCAAAAAAAAAAAAATTCCTCCAATTCTCAGTTATTGTGTCTGCCATAGTTCATTCTTGTGAGTTTGGGCTGCTTATGCCCATGATAACAGATACCTGTATACCTATAAACCAGCCTGAGTTTTCTAATAGAAAATTTGAAGTGACAGAGAACTTTAGGTAGGGTGACTTTTTTTTTTTCTTTAGATATATTTTCTGTTTTGGTAAAGTATTAGGGCTGACTATTTTCATATGAGCTTAGAAAAGAGGCATGTATTTATCAGACAAGCTTTTCTTGTCTGAAAAGCTTTTCTGTTCAATTAAAATTAAACTGAGAAAGTTTTATAGCCCAAAACAGATGGATTCACTTAAATAATTCCCCTCCAGGATTGTTTATCTTATTGCTTTGATTGCCCCAAATTCCTCGTGTCTTGACACACATTTTCTCATGCTCTCAGGAACAAAGACTTAAAGGTTCAATTACTCAAAGAAGTATTTTAGGCTTTCTTTTTAAAGTTCATATTTTTAATTTTTTTAAAGTATTTTGACGTTAAGCATTTCACATTAGGACCCTTCAGATAATTCAAAGATTTATAATTTATGAGCTGTGTCATTTTTCTGGAGTCTC